GAGTGGAAGTAAGGAATATGTAGGAAGAAGATGGAGCGATTGGGTTGGGGGAACTGAGAAATTTTTTAAGGAGAAAAAGTGGCAATTTAGGTCCTTTCTTTCTCTATATGTGTGTTTTATATAGTGCATTTATTTGGTGAGAATTGTTCTGTTATGGAGTTTATTTGTATTGATAAGCATTTGTTTTGCAGTAAAACAAGCACATCAGAGAGAACAATGGTCATTGGTTTAGGTGCTATTAACCTCTTTGGAGTTATTATTCTTGGAGCCATGTTAAAGTAAAGTCTTCTCTCAGTATTATTTTCAGTCTATGTTTCTTATTTTCTCTCTCTAATGGTGGTGCTTTTATTATCGTTTGAAGAGATACTGCGGTTAGACCAAGTGGATTTATCAACTTTGTCATGGACATAATTCCTCTACTTCAGGTATGATTTGTTTTTCTCTTATATAGATAGGCCGATTGAACAGATAGTTTTAACTATAGGGAAGAGCAGGAGGTTATTATGCATTTTACATTTTCTTCTTGAATGAAATGTGCACACCATGATGCATAACAAGGTTCTTCCTTCTTTGTACCCATGTGGTATTCTCTTAGCATCTTTTTTTTTTTGATAAGAAGTGGAGGCCTCGTTAAAACCCCCTTCATGATTAAAGGAACACCAATAGGTGTTCCTTAATCAGCGGAAGGAGGAAAAGAGTGCCTCAAAATTCTTCGGTATTCTCTTAGCATCTGGATTTGATTCTCTATAACTTCCGAGTTCCGACACAACATCTTACATGTTCTGACAACATGACGACAGGATGCCGGAATCTGTATAATGTTACAGATGTATGCACTTTGGTTTTGTCTTAAAATAAGTTTTCATGTTCTAAGTCCTGATATTTGTCCAATATAAAAGAATACCTGTATTATTATTTCAGACCAGCGAAGTTGCAAGACTTGAATATTGCTACTTGGTACTAGATACAGCATGTAGAAGTAAATAAAAGTATAGTATTGCTATTTTCTTTTTGGTTTGTGAAAATGTGGATAAAAATTTAATGTCTTCTCCCATGCTTGAGCAAATGAAGTATTGTGAACTTGGATAAAGTATTACTCGTTAAAAGTTTAGACGATTGAAAACTCAACTTTTTTCCCCTTGTCTAGAATGAAATTTACTTCTGCTACTCTTTCAAGATATATATATATATATATATATATAAAACAATTTTGTTGCAGATCTATGCTGGTTCTTTCTTTGCAATTCCTTTGGTTCGGTGGTTCTTCATTCGTAAAAGGAATACTAATATAGAGAAGAGAAACCAGATAAGAAAACAGTTTGTTCAAGCACTTGAATCGCCTGATCTTTCACTAAGGCGGAAGGTAATCATCTTATCACCTGCATTTGGAATTTTTTTAATCATGTTTTAGGTGGTGTTTATGATTTCCCACTGAATAAGCAGCAGCTTTACACCGTGTTCTCTTCTATTTCTTAATATACAATTGCACATTTTTAAACGTTTTAACATTGGTGTGAGAATTTGAAGTCAATTTACATCTTTTGTTAAGGGATGAATGTTCATCAATGCAGTGATTAATAATTTATCTGCAACTTTTATCTTCCTATATTAAAAAATCCCATTGGATCACTAGTATGCAATTTCTGCATGATTGCATCTCTATGTGATCTTGCCTTGGTCATTAGAAAATAAACGGGATCAGGTTCCCCGAGACACCAATGATGTAATGCAGGAATATCGCCTATTACAGTTTTGCCCTTTTACGACAATTTCATTTTATTTTAAAGTCGAATTTCCTGGTTTCCTTGTATAGGATCTGCATTGGTAAATCTATTCTTGTGGAAGAATCTTTATTTACTTCCTGTATATATTCCAGCTACTGAGTGCTCGAGATATGGCACAGAAAACAGTCATAGGATCAGATCGCATTGTGTATAGTACCAATAGAGACTTAGTTGAGCAAGACTACGGGGCACTAGAGTGGGATAGAAGATTCCGAGAAATTGAGAAGTCGGAATAAGAAGGTGCTCGTATGGACTACAGGCTGCACAAGTTGTTGCCTTATCTTATGGGAGCATCCTTTTACGAAGCGATTGGACGGTAAACGAAACCTATCGCATTGGAGCTGCTGATATTACCATTGATGGAGGAGGCAATTCTACAAAAGAAAACCAGTAAATCTGTCTTCAATGCTGTCTGGTGGTACAGCTGGAGGGGGAAATAATACATGTATTTTTCACTAAAGTGCCTCGGCACTTCCTTTTCAATCATTTACATATCATTTTAGATTTACGGAAGGTGAATTCAAATCCTCTTTATTTGTTTTCACCATCTTCTGTTTCCATTTGAAAATAGAAAAAAAAGGCATGTTGAGTACTGTAAAACTGTTAATAATCCATCGTGTAAACCACTACGATGTTTTTACATTGCTGAGACTCTGATAGATCAATGAATACTACTTTATTAGGTACTAAAGAACGTCTTGAGTGAACTTAGTAATAAAATAGTATTATTTTCTCTAGAAGCCATAGGTTTGTTGTCAATGGTTAAGAAAAACTTTAAACATATATTATCTTATAATCATCTTAGATTATTAGAAAAATGTTTGGGTCGCAAATTGTACGCATTCATATATCGTCTAAAAGTACATTCATGAGCACCTTAATGTTGAATTAGGGCTAAATTTCTTAAGGGTAAACTACACCATTCATCATTAAATTTTACTCTTTTATTTCACTAATTGTATTTTTAATTTTTTCAATTTACTCATTGAACTTTTAAATTGCTCCTGTTTTGGTCACTTTAAATTATTTTATTATTATTTTGACATGACATGAATTTTTATTATTATTATTTAATATAAAAATAATTTAAAATATAAAATTAAGCTTAGAAGATGGTCAAGGTGATGAGAAGGGACGGTGATTATTTTAAATCATTTTAAATTTAATAATAATAAAATATTATTTTATTATTTATTTTAAATTATTTTTATATTGAATAATGAATGAAAATGTCATGTTATAGAATAATAATAATAAAATAATTTGTAATAACCAAAACATGAATAATTCGAGAGTTCCATGAGTAAATTAGAAAATAGGAAAGTAAAATTAGGTTATGAATGATGTAGTTTACCCATTTCTTAAATCTTGATGAAAAAAAACTCGACTCAAATTTTATTTTGCTTAATAAAGGCTTGAATACAATATTGGCTCTCCAAAAAGAAAGGAAAAATCAAGTAAACTTCTATTTAAAATGTTGAATCAAAATGTATCATTCATATTGGTTCAAGTAGTAAACAGTTTGGTATCACTTATGTAAGATCTCAAGTTCGAGTCCGTCCTTTTGTATATAAAAAATCTCCATTGGGAGACTAATCCACCAAAACTAAGTATACGACATGGATTAATACAGATTAATCAGGATGAAGTCTTAGAACTGGAGGGCAACTAATTTTTTTTAATTAAATGTGCCTTCATTTGAAAGGTCTAATGAGATTTTACCTTTGAATTCTTTTTTTTAATATAAAAAACTAATATTATTTTAAAAGTTATTTCATTTTTACAGAATAAGAGTACCACTATTGTTATTGTCATGAAGAAACAAAATGTGGTTTGGAGGAATATCTAACCCAATACTTAATGTAACTTTTACTAGTGAACTTGAAACAACATATATACATGTGTTTTTAATCGATCTTGATTTTCCATCTCTTAAATTGTAGTAACAAATTTCATGTTTGACCAATATACCTCAAATTGCTTTAATTATAGTCATGGTATAAATAAATTATTTATATTATTAAATATTGTTAAAAAAATAGTGGTCAATAGAGTTGTAAATGAGACGAGACATATTGTAAACTACTCGAGATCAATTAAATCAAAGCTTCGATAAATACTCGATTCGAATGGACTCGACACGAGTTCTTAATGAGTCGAAATGAATTACTTGATACTCGACTCGAAAAACTCGCGAGCAACTCGAAAATATAATATTTTAATATTTTATTATTTAAAAAGTAAATTATTAATAATATTAACATCTATGTTTGATTTTTTTTTTGAAAAATGCAACATAAGATTTTCATATATTTAAAGTTCAGGTTTGAGTTTGAATTTGAATTTCAATTGAGTTAATTTTAACATTTTTTTTCATTTTGAGCTTTTTCTAGCTTTTACAAGATTTAATTTATGATTTTGATTTCGAGTCGAGCTTAATATTTTTAGGCTCACAAGTTTTCAAACCGAATCGAACTCTATTTTAGAGTTTTCAAGTTGAATCAAACTCGGTAATACTCGATACTAGACTCATTTGCAACCCTAGTGGTGAATTAATGCTTTTAAAAGTTAAAGTGTGTTTCTTCATTTATTGGTTCACAAAAGCCTGAAGGACTTAAGGACTCATTAATACAACAAGTACAAGTTAACTGATTTTTTTTCTTTATTCTTCAAGTCTAAGAATTCAAGAAGTATTATTCACTTGAAAAAATATTTTCTCTCGTTCTTATAAAATGTTCTTTTTTTCTCCCTTAGTTTTTTCGGTGATAGTAGAAGGCAAGGAACGTTTGTGATCTCTACTGTTGTGCTATTGTAGTTGATCATTAAGTTATTGTATCTTAGGAGACAGACGACTAAAAGATCTCGAGTACTAAGGAGTGGCTGAAAATCTATCTTAAGAAAATTGTATAGCGATAGACCTCAACTGATTCTGATTACAAGATCAAATATAAAAAAGTATTTTTATTTCCATATCAATTCTCTTTATTTTAAAGAATTTGATTTTTTTTCTTTTACTTTTTCTCAAGTTTCATTTTGTCTCAGATTATTACTCTGGTTAACAATCTTATGCTATTGTATACTAAATTTTACCTTTTTTTTTTCTCTTCACTTTCTAGGCCTTGAGAAAATTTTTCTTACCAGGGATATTCCTCCACGACCCTGTTAGTTTCGTGGAGCTGGTTCGGTCGGATCTCTTCACGTACAAGAACGGCGTCCTGAGGGTAGAGACGGAGGGCATATGTAGGGGACATATATTTTTGGATCAAGGATTGAAAAAGTACTAAAAACAAGCAATATACTTATTATTAGAGTAAATTAAACATTTAGTACCTAAATTATCAGTTTTCGTTCGTTTTAGTACCTAAACTTTTAATTTTTTTAAAAACTATACCTAAACTTTAGCTTCTGTTTCATTTTTGTACCCAACCCTTAAAACATTAGTTTTGTTTTATTTTAGTACCCCATTCAAAATTTAACATTAAGTTTTGAAAAGATAGAAAGTTTAGGTACTAAAAGGGCCAAAATTGATAGTTTAGGTACTAAACACGTTAAGTTTTTAACTACGAGTACTAAAAAGAAACGAAAACTAAACTTTAGGTATGGATTTGAAAACATTGACAGTTTAGGTACTAAAACAGATCAAAGCTGATATCTTAGATACTAAACGTGTTAAGTTTTTAACTGCGGGTACTAAAACAAAATGAAAACTAAACTTTAGGTATGGTTCTAAAAAAATTAAAAGTTTAGGTACTAAAACGGAACAAAGCTGATAGCTTAGATACTAAACACGTTAAGTTTTTAACTACATGTACTAAAACGAAACGAAAACTAAACTTTAGGTATGATTCTGAAAAAATTGAAAGTTTAGGTACTAAAATGGACTAAAATTGATAGCTTAGATATTAAACGTGTTAAGTTTTTAACTGCGTGATACTAAAACGAAACGAAAACTAAACTTTAGGTATGATTTTGAAAATATTAAAAGTTTAGGTATTAAAACGGACCATAACTGATAGTTTATATACTAAATGCGTATTTTACCCTTGTTATTATTGAATGCAATTATATTTGGTGGCGTTGTTACTAATGTTGATGCCATGATTTGTTTGAACAGATCGAACGGAAGCAATCCGTGGACGGGATATTCCCCAATATCCGTTGCATGGACAGTCAATGTGGATGAAGTCCTTAATTACATTAAACAAGAGTTGATGAAACCATGAAAAATGCTGGAATTACCACTTGAGGTCACATTTTAATTTGATTTCTGCTAATTAGGTCACTTGTAGATTATTCCCTTTTTTGGGTTTAAAAAGCTAATAATTGTTCTCATATTAGTGGATCTTTTTGTTATGGGTAAATTACATGTTTAGTACCTACTATCAATTTTGATTCGTTTTAATACATAAACTTTTAATTTTTTCAAAATCATATCTAAAATTTAGTTTCTGTTTCATTTTAGTACCCGTCGTTATAAACTTTAGTTTTTGTTTCATTTTAGTACTCTATTTAAAATTTAACGTTAAGTTTTGAAAAAATTGAAAGTTCATGTACTAAATGGATCAAAATTGATAGTTTATGTACTAAATGTGATAAGATTTTAATGAAAGGTACTAAAATGAAATGAAAACTAATCATTAGGTATGATTTTGAAAAATTGAAAATTTAGGTACTAAAACGGATCAAAACTAATAGTTTAGATACTAAATGCATAATTTACCCTTTTTTTTATTTGTAAAAAAGGGGTGGGGGAATTCATTTTCAAAAAGTCAGAAACAGTGTATATGATGCTTTTATATTTAATGTAATTGTGGGATCTTTCTATTAATTCTCGATACATTGCAACACTTTAGTTTAGTATATGATCCTTTTAAGGAAAGAGTAAACTACTTGATGGTCACTTAACTTTTAGAATCCTTTTATTTTGGTTATTAACAAATCATTTTAATATAATTACCATTACAATATAAACTGTCTATTGGCAAAAAGGTATTAGAGGCCCTGTACTTTTAAAAAAAATTAATGTGACATTTCAACTTAGAAAATAAATCCAATGTGGCTCTTTGACCAATTTTTTTTATCATTGACTGTTACAGTGCTGATGTGGTAGTTCACGGTGCTGATGTAGCGATCCACGGTGTTGACATGACAATTCACAATGGTTGATAACATGACGGATAACATGGCAGATGAGCTAAATTAGTAACTCAAACATGGCAGATGGACCGTCACGTCAGCACCGTAAACTGCCACATCAGTACCGTAACGGTCAACGACGAAAAATATTTGTGAAAGGACCACATTGAGTTTGTTTTCTGAATTGCAGGACCAAATTGAAAAAATAATATGAGAGCCATGTTAATTTTTTCAAAGTACATGGTCCTATGATGCCTTTTTACCATGTTTATTTTAGTAATTAAATCATCTCGGTATAACTTTTAGAATCCTTTTTACCATGTTCACCCTATTTACTATAGTATATTACATGGTGAACTATACAAATTGTCATTAATATTTGAATAAATTTTTATTTTTCCCATTAAAGTTTTAAAAATAATAAATTGACCATTAATATTATTGATTTATAACAAGTTAATCACTTGATTGTTAATAATCGTTACCAGAGTAACAAAATTTTGATGTGGCATGTTAGTCTAACTTTTTTAGCATCATTTAGTCACGTGAGACCATTTTGACCACCCCTCACCTCCTTATTCTCTTCTTCTTCAACTCATCATTTCTCTTCTTTCTCGGAGCTCATCCTTCTCAATACTCGAGTAGGAAGGCAGCATTAACTTTCTTTGTTGTCTATTTTGTCTGGTGCTGGCACTGTCATTGATAAGTATCAATTCAGTGATGAACATTGCTTGCATGGTATATTTAAAAGCAAATTTCGGTATTGCCCTAAGCTCATTTGAATGCCAAGATTTTGTTGTATATTGCCTACTTCAGTTGCAAGGCCCCTAGGGCTTATGTTGTCTCTTTTTCCATTTTGCTCTACTCGTCTATATTTGTTATCAAATTCTGCATAATATATGATTGTACAGAAGAAGAAAATGCATTTCAAAAGGTTAAAGCCATACTTTAACTATGAACATTCAGAATGATGAGCTTGGAGAAAGAAGAAAAAATGAAACAATTTGTGCAGTTAAGCTTCTAATTAGAGGAGATAAACGGGGAAGTTTTAGAATTTGAGAAGGATGAACTTAAAAAGAAACAAGTGCAATGGTGAAGAGGAGGAGGAGGCGAGGGACTATCAAAATAGACTCGGGTGATTAAATAATGTTAAAAAAGTAATACTAACATGTCACATCAATATTATGTTATTCCACTTATGGTTATTAACGATCAAATTATCAATTTATTATGAATTGATAATGTTAATGACGAATTTATTATTCTTAAAATTTCAACAAAGAAAATAAAAATTTATTCAAATATTATTGACTATTTTTGTAATCTATCTTATTTTATATAAAAGAATATATTATATAAGGAGAGCAAAATGTTAGTAAATTGGGTAAAGTGCATAAATAGTCCCCTAACTATATGATACTGCTTTATTAAGTTCATTGATTATTAAAAGTTGCATAATGGTTCTTATACTATAGGAGTTGCTTTGTTGAGTCCCTTAACTATTAAAAGTTACAAAATGGTCACCCAACTATTCGTTATGTTCTAAACTCGTTCTTTTCCGTTAAAAATTTGATATAATAAAATTTGGTATCGAAATCTTAAACAATTATCATATCTCAGCAGCATGGTATCGTTTAACTCGGATAATTGTTAATTTTTAAAGAAAAATACGAGTTTTAAATATAATGAATAGTCAAGTGATCATTTTGTAAGTTTTAATTGTTGATGATCTCACCAAAGTAACTCTTTAGAGTCAAGACTATTTTATAACTTTTAATATTAATAAATTTAGTAAATCAGTATCCTATAATCATAAACCATTTGTTTACTTTACCCTAATAAATTTATGTCAAAATATAATAGACGACTACCTTCTTAAAATTTGACCCACCTCTTGAATACAAAGCCTTTCCCTCCCACTGCATATAACGTGTAGAGATTCTCTTTTACACTACAAAAGCTTAAGCATTTCGAACGACGACGACCATCTTCTTCCCTTTCCCTCTCGTTTTGTCTTCTGCTAAATTCCGTTTCCATGGACACTCCAAACTTGCTCTCCTCCTACTCCTCCCTGTTTTGCTTCTTCCTCTTCTTTCTTCTCTTAGGTAAAACCAAACAACTAATTATCTCTTTCTGCTTCATCACATGGCTTAAATGGTTGGAACTGTAAGAATTTTCTAATGTTTTTCCTTTCCATGTTGTAAATGAATGAACTGCACAGGTCATCGGAAACATGTCTTAGTCGGAGGTTCAAGTGCGTCGCCGGTTTCGGAGTTCGGACCGAAGATGATGTTTGTTTTCGGGGATTCCTACGCCGACACCGGCAACAACCGGAAAACTTTGTCGAGTTCCTGGAAACTTCCTTACGGAATCACATTTCCTGGGAAACCTGCCGGCCGTTTCTCCGATGGTCGAGTTCTCACCGATTACGTCGGTCGGTATCAGTCTCTCCTTTTTTACTATCGATGATGATGGCGTTTTTCCTTTTCATGCTTTAGCTTTAGTTTTGACTCTTTATTTTCGTAAACTACTTATTTTAATTACTCATTTATTTCTTATTTTTGGTAATTTAAAGCTTTAGGTAAATTACACATTTACTATCTAAACTATCAATTTTGATCTATTTTAGTACTTAAACTTTTAATTTTTTTAAAATTATACTTAGGGTTTAGTTTTTATTTCGTTTTAGTACATGTCTTTAAAAACTTAACGCGTTTAGTATCTAAATCATCAGTTTTGATCCGTTTTAGTACCTAAACATTCAATTTTTTCCAAGACTTAACGAGTTACTAAAATGAAACAAAAACTAAATTTTTTAATGTTGAGGTACTAAAAGTAAACAAAAAGTAAACGTTAGGTATGATTTGAAAAAAATAAAAATTTAGATACTAAAACATACTTAAACTGATAGTTTACGTACTAAACATGTAATTTACCCTTATTTTTTTTTCTTAAAATCATACGTTATATTATGTTTTAATCTATTTTAATCATCCATCATTAAAAAATTAATGGTGATGTTTATATATCACCCTAAGATAATGACACGTTATCACTGAAAAAATAATAAAAAAAATTATCACAACAATAGTTCTGTTTATCTTTTTAAAGATAAATAGTAACGAATCCAGAAATATATTTTAAGGTAGGCACATACATATTTACTAAATAAAATTTTATATGGATAGGCAAAAATAAAATTTTTAGTTGGGTACAACTAGTAAATAGGTTACTAATCGGAAGAAATTGAGTAATTTACTCACCCTAATATATATGTACATCGGTCACTAACGGTGAATGATTAAAATGGAACTAAAATATAATATTAAGTATAATTTTAAAAAGTATGAATCAAATTACTTCAATAGTTAAATAGATTGTTGTTAATATTAGAGGTCATGGTTTGAGTACCAACAATTATAGTATGAGTGAATGAGCTTTTATTATAAAATGGTTGAGAGTATATACTATTTAATCATTTTAATTTAATAAAAAATTTATTTTAAAAACTAAAATAATTAGATAATTAAAATAAAATTTATAGAATAGATAGATGAATAAATACATAGTTTGTCCAACTTTCTTTTTAGTACAAATAATGGGTTTACTTTACTTCTTGGGTGGCGGGTTTGCTTTAGCTTTGGATCCTTATCAATGGATGCAATGATTTATATTTTATACCTTTAACTTTAGCCTTTACCTTTTCTCATTTTATTACAACTCATGGCAACAAGGGGCTGTCTTGGCATCCCCCCCCCCCCCCCCAACCCACACAAATAAAGTATAATTAACAATTTCTTTGCTAAGTTCATCAAATCTAAAAGAAACTTCAATATTTTTTCTATATCAAATTTCCAGGGTTAGTTATGCGTCTAGTATTTAAATTGTGATTTCTAGTCCGTTTTAGTATTTAAATTTTTAACTTTTTTTAAAATCATACGTAATATTTATTTTTGGTTATTTTAGTACCTTGTCCAAAAAAAACTTAACGTAATTGCATTTTTATAGGTAAATTACATCATTCATCACTCAATTATCTTTATACTCCTATTTTGATACAAAAGTTTAAATTTTTTAATTTAACTACTAAACTTTCAAATTGTTCTTATTTTAATCACTCTAATTTATTTCATTAATAATTTTTGTGATATGACATTTTTTACTATTATTTTAGTCATATATAATTAAAAATAAAAAATTAAATTTCAAAGTTAGAATGATTAAATTAAGAGTAATTTGAAGTTAAGTAATTAAATTAAAAAAATTAAACTTTAGTGACAGAACAGGATTGAGAAGATAATTTAGTGATGAATGATGCAATTTACCTAGAAAAAGGTGTCGCGTGCAGATCATCTGTTAAAGGCGAGGTACTAAAACGAAACAAAAATTAAATGTTAGGTATGGTTTTAAAAAATAAAAAATAAAATATTAAAACAGACTAAAAATCATAATTTAGGTATCAAACGCGTAATTTACACTTGTCTTTTTTTTTTTAATTATTGCCAATTAATTCATTCCTTGTTTTTTTCTTCTGGCAAGCAGCCGGGTACCTGAGAATAAAGACACCAATACCCTACAGATGGAGGAAACAACTGGGCGGACGGGTGAAGTATGGGATGAACTTTGCCTATGGAGGAACTGGTGTGTTCGACACCTTAGTTCCGGAGCCGAACATGACTACACAGATCGATTTCTTGCAGCAGCTTCTCGATGACTCGGTCTACTCCAAGAGGTCGCTCAAAACTTCTGTCGCACTTGTCAGCCTCGCCGGCAATGACTACTCTAATTACCTTGCTACCAACGGCTCTGCTGCGGTAATAAAACCCGAATATATCTACATGCATGCATGGATACGTATAGAGCTATATAAACGACACGAGAGAGATAGTAAGCTATTTAGGTTTGAATCGGTTAGAGTTTGGTTAATACTCAATTAGAATGAATTCAATTTGAGTTTGAAACTGACTCGAGTTTTTAACGAGTTGAAAAGTGTTGTTTTATACTCAACTTGAAAAGCTAGAGAGCATCTGAAAAAATACTATAAGTTTCGATCCGTTTTAGTATCTAAACTTTAAAAAAAAATTCAAAACCATACCTAAAGTTTAGTTTTGATTTTATTTTTGTACCCCGCCGTTAAAAACTTTAGTTTTTGTTTTGTTTTAGTACCCGTTCAAAATTTAACGTTCTGTTTTGAAAAGATTGAAAGTTGAGGTACTAAAACGGACCAAAATTGATAGTTTAAGTGCTAAATGCATTAAATTTTTAACATTAGAGTACTAAAATAAAATAAAAACTAAATGTTAGGTATGATTTTGAAAAAATTAAAAGTTTAGGTAATAACTGATATCTTAGGTACTAAATGCATAGTTTACCTAAAAATAATATATTATGATTTTTTAATTTTTTAAAATTATATTATTAATATTTATGTATTTTTTAAATACAATATAAGATTTTCTTGTAATTAAGGTTCAAGTTCGAGCTTGAATCGAGATTGGGATTCAATCAAGCTAAGCCTGAGAATGTTTCAAGTTAAAGTTTTTTCGAGTTTGAGTTTAGCTTAACAATTTTAAGCTCATGAATTTTCGAGTTTGAATTAAGCTTGATAATTTTAAACTCTCGAGTTCTTGAGTCGAACTCAACTTTAAAGTTTTCAAATCGAGTTGAACTCAACAATACTCAAGCTCGACTAGACTGAATTATTATGAGATATCATGTATTTTATTATCTGTGATGTTTATGTTTATAGTGAATTGTTGTTCTTTCTTATTCGTGGAGATAAATAAGGCCGAACCAAGTTAAATCTTATCTATTGTACTTATCATATTTTAGGGTAAACTATACATTTAGTATATAAACTATCAGTTTTGGTCCCTTTTATTACCTAAACTTTCAATTTTTTTCAAAATCATACCAACATTTAGTTTTAGTACCCCACCATTAAAAACCTAACACGTTTAGTACCTAAATTATTAATTTTTGTCCATTTTAACACCTAAACTTCATTTTTTCGAAACTTAATGTTAAATTTTGAATGGTGGTACTAAATGAAACAAAGACTAAAGTTTTTAATGGTGGGGTACTAAAATGAAACAAAATCTAAATGTTAGGTATGATTATGAAAAAATTGAAAGTTTAGATACTCAAATGGATCAAAACTAATAGTTTAGACACTAAACACATAATTTAACCTGTATGTTATTGATATCACTTTAGTTCTAAATCCCTAACATGTATACGTACATAAAACTGTTGTGGATTATTAGGGGTTTCCGACCTTCATCGGAAGCGTAGTGAATCAACTGAAGGTGAACTTGAAATGGATCCATAACACGGGGGTGAGGAAAATAGCGGTGAGCGCATTGCAGCCATTGGGGTGCCTCCCTCGAAGCACTGCTCTTTTGGCCTTCGAGCAGTGCAATGGAACCGAAAACACGCTCGTCCAACTCCATAACCAGCTCTTGGTTCAAGCAGTGAACGATCTCAACCAACAAACCAACAGCTCCTCTTTCTTTGTCCTCGACATTTACGATGCCTTTTGGGACGTTTTCGTTCACAAACAAGCTCGCCAAGGTGACTCCCTTTGATCTTTTTTTTGTTGATAAAAAGGCAGTAGAGGTCCTACACTTTTGAAAAATAACCAATATGGCCCGCATATTATTTTTCTCTCAACATGGCCTTTCAACTCAGAAAATAAATTCAATGTGACCCTTTGACCAACGTTTTTTCATCGTTTACTGTACGATAGTGATGTGATAGTTCACGTTACTGACATGACAATTGAGGGTGATTGAATAATTTGGTGAATGACATGACAAATTGTCAAAATTAGTAAATCAAACATGACAATGGACTGCTATGTCAGCACTGTGAACCGTCACGTCAGCACCGTAACAGTGAACGATGAAAAACATTGGTCAAATGGTCACATTAGATTTGTTTATTGAGTTTGAGAGCCACATTGATAAAAAAAATAATATGATAACCATATTTTTTTTTTCAAAGTAATGAGAACTCTTATGTTTGTTTGTCTTCTTTATATGTTAGATAAATCTTAACCATTTGACTTTAAATCTCACACCCCTAACATTCTAGTGTTCAAACTCGGTCCTTTACCATTTAGATGACTTGGTTCATGCTTGTTTTTCCTGTTTTTTTTTACTTGCGGGACTTGAAATATGATTTTGTTTTGCAGTGAGTCCGAGATTTGAGAATCCGTTCGAGCCATGCTGTGTTGGAGTGAGTGCTGCATTTTCATGCGGGAGTGTAGATGAAAATGGGGTGAAGAAGTACACGGTTTGCTGGGATCCGAAATCGAAGTTCTTTTGGGATACGGTTCACCCTACACAAGAAGGATGGCGAGCTGTGTATTCAACTCGGGTTCTTCAAAACAGTCTCAAGCAGCTTTGGTAGAAATTAATGTTTTCTGTTTATGGCTCTGTAATGTGTTTGCGTTTTGTTTGTTGGTTATCTGTCGAATCCCTTTTGTGCTGGGAAAAAAAGTTGTATGAAATGAATGGAATAATACTTCTTCTTCCCCGCAACTAGCCTTTTTTTTTCATGGGATGTCTCCCATGGAACTACATTTATGCATCTTGTAGATAAAGTATTTAAATTAAAGTTAGAATCCCGTTTTTAGTTGTATTATGTTTATTATAATTGTCAACGTAATGAATATTATCAAAGTCGTTACAAATATCACATACAATAATAATTAGTAAAAATATTTAAGAGGTATTTATACTTTTAAAAAGTATCAATGTGGTTCTCATATTATTTTTTCTCTTCATGTGATCTTTCAACTTAGAAAATAAACTCAACGTGGTATTTTGACTAACGTTTTTTATCGTTGACTGTTACAGTATTGGCATGCCAATTCACGGTGCTGATGTGGTGGTTTACGGTGTTGACATGACAGTCCTTCTGTCATGTTTGAGTTACCAATTTAGCTCATTTACTAAATCATCCACTACGTTAATCTGTCATTCTGGTTTATTACATCAGCACCGTAACAGTCAACGACGAAAAACGTTGGTCAAAGTGTCACATTATGTTTATTTTCTAAGTTAGTCATATTAATTTTCTTTTAAAAGTACAAGAACATCTGATATCTTTTTGCCATACTAATTTTAAATAATATTATCATCGCTATAAAACCTCAATTATTTTAATAAGGTTTATATCACAAATATGTATCTAAAGTATATTTTATTTCTTATAACTAAACTATTTAAACTTTTTTTTATCTAAGTTCTAAAAAAAGTAGATAAAAAAAAGTTAACATGTGACATTAGTTAAATAATATTTTAGGTAGTTAGATGAAAAAACTGAATACTTTACGTACTTATTTTGATAAAGGTACATATTTTGACAAAAAAAAAATTTAAATACTTATTTTGATCGAAAAATATTTTAGATAATTAAATGAAAAAGATGATATATTTTATGTAATTATTTATTATATAATCCTTAAAACAATGGAGTACTGTTTAAGTCCTGAAATGATTAATACTGATGTGAGTTGGAAATCAAAAGTGGTTTTCTTTTTGCCTTTTGCTCACATATTACTCATTTTACAATATTGCCATGGTTTCATTGAAAAAAAGAATGGTTTTGGAATTTTGAGATACATTTATTTAAGTTTATAATCAAATTTAATTAGAACATCATCAAATAAACTCTACTCCTTCTATATATAAGAAAATAAAATCAAGTTGTAGACTCTCTATAACACTCAAATATAATTAATAAGGGTGGAAATATAATTAGTATTGTTCTTTTCTTCAAAATTTTATTCACATTTGATCTGACGTAATTCTTACCACTAGGTCTATTATCAACAATTGTTAATTTTTATTAATATTATAAAATATTGGACCGAAATATTTGTGAATTCATATATTTTGTTTTGTTTTTTTTTTATATTTAAGGATTGATCATTATTTAAACTTTCATAATTTGTGGAACTCAAAGATAGTTTATTAAAACCAAGTTATTATTTACAATTATAAATGTTTTCTGAACTTTTTCTTTTATTTATTTTTTCATCATCCGCACCAAGTTCTTGCATAATTCTTCCCCACAAAATATTTAAGTTATCAATAATTATTTGGTTTAATAGGATGAGAAATTAGTTCTCTCAGTTAAATTTATGAGTTTAAATTCTAACGTTACGAATGAAATAAACTAAATTAAAAAGATTATTTTCATATTGTACTTTTATAATATTTAATTCGAATTAACTTATTAATAAAAGATGAGTACAAAGGAGAAATGTCGAGATTGGATACCAGAACATAAAACGAACATTGTCTACATAATGAATAAAAGAAGAAAGTAGATTCAACTGCAATCAGTACACTAAATTTCAAATTATCATATTTTGACATCATGATCTCCTTTATTCCCCAGTTGAGAAATAAATGAAGTCCCTGCAGAACACAGAGGTTTAGGAACAAAGACCTCTTCTTTAATGCGGAACATACACCGACCACCTCCATCAACACGAAGCCCGGCTGGAGTACAATCCAGCTTATTAGGACCCTCTTTCCAACTTCTACAGCTAAAGAGGAATTATATTTCTCCTCTTTTACGACAGGTTTCGAAGAACACCCAGTATTACAACAGTTACTCACAGAATTTCATCTTCAATATCTTTTAGGCCACAAGAAGGCAGAGGATGCAGTCCACTCCGGTTATCAGGAAGGGGGAAGAACCAAGGGTAAGGCACTACATATAAGGCGGTCTTGAGGCCATTCACATCTACGGGATTCTCTTGATTAAAAGATGAATCAAACCTACCATTAGTTGGCGATGAAATGCTAGATGGAACAAAAACGGCATGTTGGTGCCCATATTGTGATTGAACAGGATGTGAAGGCGTAACGCTGGAAGTGTAACACCCCCACCCCGTATTAAAAACCGAATACGAGTCCGAGGTGTCATATTGACTTTTCAAAACATTTACTTGTATAAAATAGTGAGTAATTTAAAACTTTATAACATATAACTTATTCAAAACGCTTACAAAACTATTCAGAACTTATACAATATATTCTCTTGAATACATGTCAACTAGAACTTTATATATAAAAATACATATTATTCACATCTCTTCTGATCTGACTTTCAGTAAGGAGAACTGACATGTCTTGTTCCACATTGCTCTTCACTCTTCTTGAAACCTACGTGTAAATCACTTACACGCTAAGTCTATGACTTAGTGAGACAATAAATATATAATGTAAACTATAACTTGTAATCATGCATGAACAATTATTGCTATCACATCATACCCAAACATATATCCATTCATATATCAAATCCACACATGCATATAATTATCTTCTTTCCTATCATTATCATATTATTACCATTCATATTTATATTCTCTTGTTTATATGATTTATTATGTTCATATCATATATCTTATAACATATACAATAATCATTAACACACACATATATCATATCATATAATTAATATCACAAAACATATATATATATATATATCACATATATTGTATTCAATGTTATCTCTTATTAGCCCATGTACACCTGTGAGAACTGTAGATATGTGAGTCTATTGAGGTTGTGCACTATGCTGTCACCACAGCTCGTAAGGGGTCCCACTAGGGGCTATGAAATTTTGTCTCGAAGGACCTAAGTACTGTATTTGTCCCAAAAGACCACTCCTTAAGAACCATATACATATTCCAGTTGATCAAATCTGTCTCAAAAGACCCTGTAAATGTTCCAAAGGATACATATATGTCCCGAAAGACCACGTAAAACCCTAGACTCTTGGCATGCCAACTATACCTATAGCTCTCGTATCATATAACATGGGCATTTTCACTTATATCATTCCACATATACACTTTCATATCATATGTCATATAAGCTCATAGCTTCTTTCACATATACATGTAGTCACATAGCTTCTTTTCATATTATCACATAGTTCATATCTTATAATTTGTTTTCCAATGTTCACATATATCATGTTATATGGCTCATATCTTTCTCATGCAATCATATAGTTCAGTTTCACATATGTTCATATATATACATCACATAGCACATACTTCTTATATCATTACATACAAAAGCATGTTAACACATATAATCATGCAACATATACAATAATATGTCACCACATCGACTCATGCACACATTTGAACCATAGAAAAAACATACTTCTATCTAGGAATTTATGCATTTTACTATTGGAAATAGACTTATCGCAAGTCTTATTTCCCATTAAACATCATATACTAAATAATATGCACTCACCTGGTCCTCACTAAGTTCCAATCCACTTTTATGATGTCCTTTCTTTCGATCGAATCTTAACTTGATAATCGTTCCGGAACTTTTTTGTGCTCGATATCTATATAATCATACATTGATACATATCAGTATCCCATTGATATATTCTAATCTATCATTTCTTAGACCAAAAGAAATGTCTATTTCAATTTCCCCTTGGAGTGCATCGATACATTCTACAGTGCATCGATGCATTCTTTAACATGTGCATCGATGCACTACCCTTGCATCGATACACCAATCACCTTCGATATTTTCATTTTAAGGGGGTGCATAGATGCACTCCTTATGCATCGATGCACTAATTACATTCGATGTTTCTTCTTTAAAGAGTGCATCGATACATATTGAATGTGCATCGATACACCTTGCCCAGAATTTGCATTTTAAGCCCGAAAATCATCAACTTTTCACTCAATTCTTCTATTTTAAGCCCCTATCATGTCATTAAATTCAATTACCATTACTTAAACCAACTTATATCCATATAAACCATCTCATCATGATTCTTAAAATTTAAGAATCTTGCTAAACTTTCAACTGTGTTATTAATCCTTTCTAACTTCATATATCTCTTATTCTTAGTGATGACAAGTCAAATTCCTTCTCAAATTTCACTTATCAACTCCTTTCCAGAAATTCATCTAAAAACTCATTTTATTTAATCTATTCTATATCTTTCATCTTGTTGTTTTAGAACAAATTAAGCTTTTCTTAAGCTTAATTATCATCTAATGATCATAACTCAACCTTAAAATCAATAATTAATCAACAAACAAAGAAACTCACATTGAGTCAAGCCTTCACGTATTAAGAAGGAAGAAGAGAAGAGAACTCCGGAACCTTTCTCTCTTTCCACGTGGTTTCCTTATCTTATAAGGAAAATAAAAAATCTTCCTTGTCAAATTACCCTTTTGCCCTTCAATTCATCTAATAATTACTAACAACTTTTATGATATATTACCAAATAAATCATTGAACTAATCCATGGTTCTACTCTAGTCACTAAATTCTGAAACTTTACAATTTGATCACTAACCCGGTATTGAGGATGTTACAAATCTCCCCTCCTTTAAAGAAAATTCGTCCTCGAATTTTCACTGAACATATCAATAAGAACATATCTTCTAATGTTCTCATGCTACTTCCTTTACTTAATCTTTCCTTTCTTTATTTCTTCAATTGTCTATT